CCACTGCTGTTAGTACCGTTGCTACGTAAAAAGCGTGGCATACTTTCAGAAACAAGCACTTAATAACAACAACAACTAATAATAATCAGAAGTGTAAAGTAACTAAGTACATTTACTCAAGTACTTTACTTAAATACCATTTTGAGGTACTTTACTTGAGTATTTCCATTTATACTACTTCTACTTCTATTTAGATGTACATTTTGTACTTTTACTCCACTACATGTATTTAATCCCTTTAGTTACTTCACAGATCTGGATGAATGATGTGAAATATAATCAAGTGTTAAATCAGACTTTAGTTCCACCTGGAGTAAATCCTCAAGCTACCCTGCAGTATACAAAGTCATTCAAACTAGCTGCACCTTTACCAGCTTTGAGAACACTTTAATGATCAATCATTATAAAACATATCATATATATTATTCTGAAATGGACCAATCTGCACAATGACTACTTTTACTGTCGCTACTTTCACTATATTTTGATGATGATACTTTTCTACTTTTACTTGAGGAACATTTTGAATGGACTTTTACTGTAACAGTGTATTCCTACACTCTGGTACTTCTACTTTTACTCAAGTACAAGATCTGAGTACTTCAACTTTCACTCAAGTACCAGATCTGAGTACTTCTACTTTTACTCAAGTACCAGATCTGAGTACTTCTACTTTTACTCAAGTACAAGATCTGAGTACTTCTACTTTTACTCAAGTACAAGATCTGAGTACTTCTACTTTTACTCAAGTACAAGATCTGAGTACTTCTACTTTTACTCAAGAACAAGATCTGAGTACTTCTACTTTTACTCAAGTACAAGATCTGAGTACTTCTACTTTTACTCAAGTACAAGATCTGAGTACTTACTCAAGTACATACAGTGCAAATAGTATTAATATTAATGTTCAGTGCAGGTTATATCTGATGTCTATGTTATGATATGAATTTTAATACCCCTTGCTGTAAAAATAATAGCCCATAATGAAGTAGCGGTTGAAAGGAGAAGTCACGTGTGATTGGTCTATTTGTTTTTACAACTCTTCCTGTCTTCAGTAAACGTCACAGGTGGTATATAAAGACTCACCTGTGTGCAGAGCTCTGTCACTGAGGGACAGACACCTGACGACAGCCAAGATGGTGAGTGGAGCCACAAGACTCATGTTAATCATTCTCCACATGAACTGCATTTATGATTGTGTCATTTTATCGTAACGGTATTACACTTCCGAATAATATTAAACTTCAGAATAAGATTGCTTTACCTACCTAAGTCCATCAAAAATGTGTATTGGGCCACTTCTAAATACATAGAAGAGATACCGTATATCTTGCTGTTTTGATCCTTTACACTTTTTAAAATGTACAGATTTATTATAAGTAAGTATATATCTAAATCTATATTCTAAAATGTACAGATTGAAGGTGGAAGTGGACAATTGTACAGAGCTTTAAGTTACATTATTTGCAGTATTAACACAGATTTACCTCCATTTCTAATATCCTAATGGTTGATTGGAAAGAAAAGAAAAGGTTTGATAGTATTAGCACCTATTTATTTCCTTTTTTGCTATAGACATATCTCTCTACGGAGTATCTTGTCAATCATTAGCAGTCACTCAACGGTCTGAAACTACATATGTATAACTTCTATAGTGTGATAAAGATGTGAACCTTGAAACCAAAGCTCTGCAACTAATTTAAAATGTACATTTCTTCCAAGCAAGGCCATGTATTCAGATTTTGAACATCTAAATCAGTGATTAACTTACTGACAGAAGATACTCCTGAAACTGCATTTATATTAATTTACAATATACTAAAGACTTGGCATTACAAGACAGGTATTGTGCCGCCATTTCTAGAGCGTAACACCAACAACGTCTTAAATCCTCATGGGAATTAATGAAGTGTAACTTGACTTAATTATTCTCCAACTCCAAGCCTTAGCAGTCAATGATAAACCAGCATTGATCGGAGATAAGAGGTAGCGTGGCGGGTAAAGACGGAGGTATCTTTGGATCTTTAGGTGTGGTGCAGGCGTATCGGAAGTCATTGCTTTATTGATTAGGTTAACAGGTACACTGAATTTGAAGAAAACTCTGTGGTATGCCACTATTATATTATTTTTCCTGGAGTGCAAACTTCAAAACAATCTTAGGTGTTTCCTATTTCAATATTAGTTTATTTTCTTTAATTTTTATATGGGCACACACACCCACACCTTTTTTAAATACCTATTTAGCGTGTGCACATATACTGTAGCAGAAGGTCCGTGTGTGGTGTGTGTGTGGTGTCTGTGTGTGTGTGTGTGTGTGTGTGTGTGTGTGTGTGTGTGTGTGTGTGTGTGTGTGTGTGTGTGTGTGTGTGTGTGTGTGTGTGTGTGTGTGTCTTTATGGTTTTATTGTCTATATATGATAACCACATGTCAAGGAACAAATACGGCGCCTTCCTGTTTCAGTACTTTTACAGCCGAGGGCAATTTGAACACCCTGGTTGATCATCGACAGCTAAAATAAGAACAACTACAATCACCAACAGTTCATGTTCATCTCTTCAAATGTGTAAATTAAATGTCAAAGCAGTATTGATACCTGTAGATGAACAGACTGGTTTTAAAATGAATTATCTTCTAACTTCTGACTTAATTTGATATCCTCTTTGCCAATACAAGATACCTTGTTTTTTCATGAGGATGACCACGAGGAACAGTCATGGGTTCATATTTAGACCTTCCTCTTGTAAATGATCTCCTCTATCCCCCGTATTAGTGGGCTGATCCAAACTTTAACTGAACTATAAAATGAAAAGGCGACTAGTTGTGTAATCCTAACCAGTTTTCTAACCCTAACCCTAACGCCCTTTCTGTCTCGGTACTTTTCACCCTGGTTGATCATCAACAGCTAAAACAAGAACACGTCTAATAATCAATTCCCCCACAGAACATCGACAACACGGTCATTAATTTCCATCTCTTAAAATATGTAAATTATATTTCAAAGCATTCTTTATACCTGTAGATTAACAGACGTGTTGTTAATTACAAATATCTTCTGACCAACGTTGATATCGTTCATCCGTGAGTTTTAGTTTCACTTGTAGAAAATATACAGATAGAGCCGTCAATAGCTCACAATTCGTCCTGCCTTTCTTCTCCCCCCCCAGTTTATTGGTTTGATCCAAACTTTAGCTGTACTATCATAGTAAATCGACTAGTTATATAACCCTAAAACTACCTTTTTTTGTAACCCTTAAAATCCAATCTGTGAAAACATCATTCAACCAGGATCCATCCATCCAACTAAGGAAGTAAACGATTTTTTATAACATGAGAAATAGTAAGCCCTGCTTCTTATTCATTATCTCTTTCATCCTTCAAATTGGTGGTCTGATCCAAACTTAAGCTGTACTAAAATGAAAAGGCGACTAGATGTGTAACCCCATTTTCTAACCCTAACCCTCATGTAGAAGTTGTATTGTAATACTTTGTTACATGTAGTTTAAAGGTAGGGTAGGTAAGTTAGAGATAGAGAGGTAAGGTAGAGAAACCAGCTCGAGTGCGCTAGAATTTGAAAATACACAACCGGAGAAAATCTGCCACTTCCTTACAGAGCCCCTCCTCCAACACACACGAACGCGCACATGACCAATGAGGGCACGAGATAAGTTTGTGCACAGATGGAAGGCTGACAGGCAGGTAGGCCATCCAGTTATTTTAGCCGGGCCGGCTCAGATGATTGGTCGTACTTTTTAAAGTACTACAGCTTCCACAGATGATATTTTTTAATGGATTTTTTGTCAAAGCACTTCAGATATTCATTGCTATCGGGATGTTAAGAGCATTCCATGGAATATAACAACAAGTGTATCTCGAGCCGGTTTCTCAAACTTACCTACCCCACCTTTAAGTAAGTTAATCTTTTTTTTAGGTAGGACTCCTCCATCTTTTTTAATCTGTTCACATATTTCTCTCGTCTTATTTCCCTTTACAGAAAATCACCAACATGACATTCAAGGAGGGGAGTCAGTTCAAGATCCGCATCAAGCCCAAGGACGACTGCAATTCGTAAGTTCGACTCATCAGAGATCACAGATATAGACTCTTCAGTAACACTGAATGAAGAGGAAGTGGAAGAGAGGTTAATGTTTCATCCACTTCTTCCCCTTTCCATCGCCTCCTTTTTTCAACCTCCATTGCAGCTTCGCAGAGATGTTAAAGTACACACATCCTTTACTCAAGTAGAAGTACAGATACTCGTGTTTAAAAATACTCTGGTAAAAGTAGAAGTACTGACTAAACTTCTTTACTCAAGTGAAAGTAAAGAGGGCTTTGAAATGTACTTCAGTAAAAAGTACCCATAACTAGCAGCTGTTTTAAAGAGTACCTGACCTCCCTTTATATCAATAGAACAATAATGTCATTGTTAGCTAATGAATGTTTCCATGCTGAACAACGGCAACATGACAACGTTTTCATTGGTCCCTCTTCTTTAGAGAAGACCAGGAAATGATGGATACACGGATCGTGTTCAAATCAATAGGCACGCAATGACTCTAAATAATAATGATCACGCCACCAAACACACATTCAAACTAAAGGAACCAGCCTGTTTGGGAAATGTAAGAAGTAGAAAGTACAGGTATTTGGGTTCAACATGTAAGAAGTAGAAAGTACAGGTATTTGGGTTCAACATGTAAGAAGTAGAAAGTACAGGTATTTGTGTTCAACATGTAAGAAGTAGAAAGTACAGGTATTTGTGTTCAACATGTAAGAAGTAGAAAGTACAGGTATTTGTGTTCAAAATGTGAGAAGTAGAAAGTACAGGTATTTGGGTTCAACATGTAAGAAGTAGAAAGTACAGGTATTTGTGTTCAACATGTAAGAAGTAGAAAGTACAGGTATTTGTGTTCAACATGTAAGAAGTAGAAAGTACAGGTATTTGTGTTCAACATGTAAGAAGTAGAAAATACAGGTATTTGTGTTCAACATGTAAGAAGTAGAAAGTACAGGTATTTGTGTTCAACATGTAAGAAGTAGAAAGTACAGGTATTTGTGTTCAACATGTAAGAAGTAGAAAGTACAGGTGTTTGTGTTCAACATGTAAGAAGTAGAAAGTACAGGTATTTGTGTTCAACATGTAAGAAGTAGAAAGTACAGGTATTTGTGTTCAACATGTAAGAAGTAGAAAGTACAGGTATTTGTGTTCAACATGTAAGAAGTAGAAAGTACAGGTATTTGTGTTCAACATGTAAGAAGTAGAAAGTACAGGTATTTGGGTTCAACATGTAAGAAGTAGAAAGTACAGGTATTTGTGTTCAACATGTAAGAAGTAGAAAGTACAGGTATTTGTGTTCAAAATGTAAGAAGTAAAAGTAAAAAGTCGTCAGAAAAATATGTATTGGAGTACTGATACCAGAAAAATGTACTTAACAAAGTATTTGTACTCCACTACTCTGTATAGGACCTAAAACAAATAAAACAGATAAAATAGTGCAAGAGATTGTTTTGAGATGTGCAAGTCAATACAAATAAAATTGAAATAGGGCAAGAAGAGTCTATATACAAGTAAATGGATTATCACCTTATTATACTGTTATACTCTACAGTAACATAATGTTATACAAGCTGCATATTAAGGGTTTTTCCATCGCCTCCATTTCAGCTTTGCCATCAACATCGGCCATGATTCTGAGAACGTCGCTCTGCACTTCAACCCCAGATTCGACAGCGAAGGAGACGTGAACACCATCGTCTTCAACTCTCTGTCCGGAGGGAGCTGGGGGGACGAGGCGAGGGAGGGGAACTTCCCCTTTGTGAGAGGGGAGGAGTGCAAGGTGTGTTGGGAGGAAGTCGATATCTGTAGTCTGGAAGAAGTCTGTTAAGTCTGATAACAAACACTTAGTTATTAGTGAAACAAACTATGAAATGTACACATTAAGAAATAAAGATTAATGGAAATGAAAGATGGAAAAAGTATGACAGAAAACATTTACAGAGCCATTATAATTATTATTATTATTATTAGGGTTAGGGTTACTCTTCCTTCTGATATAATATATTTTCTTGGAATTTAACAAATGTTCACAATATTCACCAAAATAATTTAAGATGTTTCAGAAAATGGATTTAGTTTATCTAAGAATTCATATTTATTTAATTGAATAAGGAAAAAAACAATTTATTTTTGTATTGCTTGTCATTTCACCTTTTTGTTTATTGATAAGAGGAAGTATGACTTAATGACACGGAAGAGGATTAGGACTAGAAATGTCTTTGACGGATGACTTACTTTCATTTTGAGATTTTTAATTAAAAAAAGTCTGAATTCTTCAAAAAAGGCAGATTTTTGGGAATAAAATAGTTCTGACTTTTTGCTTGAATCTCAGATTTCTGAAAATAAGGTCAGAATTCCGACACTTTCCTTAAGAAATTGATTTTGATCTCAACATTTTTACTTTATTTCAAATAATCCAATTTTTTTTTTGAGAATTCTGAGATGAAATTTAAAAAACGTGGCCTTTTATTTTCCTTTTTTGAATTTTGAGATTATATTTCATAGACCTTGCAGCCCTTTCCTACATTCTGCAACATAAAAGGTGTCAAATGTGTAATTCCCGAGGCAGCCTGCATAACTCACACACACACACACACACACACACACACACACACACACACACACACACACACACACACACACACACACACACACACACACACACACACACACACACACACAACACACACACACACACACACACACCACACACACACACACACACACACACACACAGTCATGTGGCTCAAGTTCAAATCTCATGATGTATTTCCTCATAACGAATGAGCTCTAAAGTCAACAGTCTAGTTCTGTCTAATCATGAAGGTGCACGGCTCAATAAACGTAATAACCCCCGAAAGAGATAGCATACATGTCCTCTTGTCTTTGTTTCCTCGTATGAAGGGAAAGATAAACCCTGTATTCTCGTTTTGTCTTCAGTTTTACATCAACTTCAACATGGAGCAGTTCTACCTCACACTTCCTGACGGTTCGATGCTGAACTTCCCAAACCGCCTGGGAGACGTCAAGTACAAGTTTTTCGATGTCAGCGGAGACGCGAGGATCATTGGCATCAAGATGAAGTAGAAGTCAAACTCTGGATCTGTCCACCCTTTGTGTGTTGCTTTAATAGTCTGTTTTACAATAGATATGTGAGTTTGTAGTAGGAGGAAATGGCCATAAGAGGGAGCCACAGCACATCTTAGCTCAGTGTGTCTGCTTTGACATCTCATCAGTCTCTGGGTTTGTTATTAAATGCTGTGGAAAAAAAAGCGTGTCTATGTCTTACTCTTTGATACACACACACAAACTGCTGAACAATCTCACACAATGAGTCTAAATTGATCTGGAAAGGGTCACTTTCAAATACAGTCATCATTCTGATACCAGTCATATTTGTCTTTACTATTTTCGCACAGTCTGAGGAGTATTAAAGGGGCCCTATTATTATGTTGGGGGTTTTCCCTCTCCTATAGTGTGTTATATAGGTTTTTCTGCATGTAAATGGTCTGCAAAGGCTAACATACCAAATGGCTGAGGGAAGGGACATCTCTAAGAGGTTGCCCAATCACAACAGAGCCGGCCAGCTAACCAATCAGAGCAGACGGGGCTCTGGTTTCAGACAGAGGGTGAAAAGAGGTGCTGCAACACAGACAGTATGAGAACAATAAAGAGCTTTTTGAACATTAAAGCATGGAGACATGTAGAGACACTACATACTGATATACACCTGAACATCAGCAGGAGAGGACTCTTTAAAGTAGAGACACTACATACTGATATACACCTGAACATCAGCAGGAGAGGACTCTTTAAAGTAGAGACACTACATACTGATATACACCTGAACATCAGCAGGAGAGGACTCTTTAAAGTAGAGACACTACATACTGATATACACCTGAACATCAGCAGGAGAGGACTCTTTAAAGTAGAGACACTACATACTGATATACACCTGAACATCAGCAGGAGAGGACTCTTTAAAGTAGAGACACTACATACTGATATACACCAGAACATCAGCAGGAGTGGACTCTTTAAAGTAGAGACACTACATACTGATATAAACCTGAACATCAGCAGGAGAGGACTCTTTAAAGTAGAGACACTACATACTGATATACACCTGAACATCAGCAGGAGAGGACTCTTTAAAGTAGAGACACTACATACTGATATACACCTGAACATCAGCAGGAGTGGACTCTTTAAAGTAGAGACACTACATACTGATATACACCTGAACATCAGCAGGAGAGGACTCTTTAAAGTAGAGACACTACATACTGATATACACCCTGAACATCAGCAGGAGAGGACTCTTTAAAGTAGAGACACTACATACTGATATACACCTGAACATCAGCAGGAGAGGACTCTTTAAAGTAGAGACACTACATACTGATATACACCAGAACATCAGCAGGAGAGGACTCTTTAAAGTAGAGACACTACATACTGATATACACCTGAACATCAGCAGGAGAGGACTCTTTAAAGTAGAGACACTACATACTGATATACACCTGAACATCAACAGGAGAGGACTCTTTAAAGTAGAGACACTACATACTGATATACACCTGGACATCAGCAGGAGAGGACTCTTTAAAGTAGAGACACTACATACTGATATACACCTGAACATCAGCAGGAGAGGACTCTTTAAAGTAGAGACACTACATACTGATATACACCTGACAATGAAAATGAGCAGAATAGGGACCCTTTAATATCAAAACATACAATTGGAATTTAAATAGTTGCATAAAATAAATGCAACTCAGAAAATAAAACCAGTGCATGTTTTAAAACAACTTAAAATTGGATGTCAATAACATTTTATGGAATTACAACCAGATAAAAGCTATTGAAGCTGCATGATTTCTACAGGCGACGACTTAACATACCGTCTTAATGTCCATAAATCTGGTCTCTAGCACGATCAAGTTTGTAATAAAGGAAGTATGTTAGAACTAGTACTAAACATTGATCACATGAAAAATAATGACAAAAACAAGAGGAAAAATTGCATCTGAACTCCTTGTTCATGAATGTGGCTAACATAGTTATTGCACTATGAATAAAGAGCAGGTTATAGAGTATTAAACAGGGTAATGCAAAGAGAGGGAGTGTATATACGACAGAGGTGAGATGAAGCAGCTCTTTCAGAGTCAATTTGCAGGAGGACTCAAAGAAGCGGTGGCTCGAGGCTGAGGAATGTGGCACGATGCAAACACATTCCCTGCACGCAGATGAAATATCCTTTACATGTGTGTGTTTAAAGTGGTACGGCAGATAGGAGAGGAAAGGAACAATCTTTACGTTTCCATTGCATTGACCAAACATCAGACAATTTAAAGCCATTGAAAAGTGCTACGATGAATTCGTGTCGCCAGCATTTCTTCCCTAGATGTATTCAAAACTATTAAAATATCCTATTTTACAACTTATTAAACCTTTTGCATTTAAGTAACAACTGGCAATTGAACCCACATATTTGTAACCTAAAGTTCATATACAAATGTGTTTTTTAACATAATTCAAGGAGGCAGATTTGGTAATAGTTTGACAGCCATTTGTCCTGTACATGTGAGAATAAGTCTTCTTTCTCTATACAAAACAAAAATTAAAATGCTAAAATGTTTGTCGTTTGCCTTCAAACAGATTTCTATGTCAGCAAACATCCACCTGCTGTGTTGGATTTCTCTTAATCCTTAACAGCTCTGGTTAAACACCTTTACATAGCTTAAAATGTTCTCAGAAAAAACCGACAGATTACAAATGTCTCACAAATATGACACTTTCCAGTTATGTACAAAGAATCTAGAACAGAAATGTCCTCCCTCAGGCGGATAAACAGTCAATACCAATGTCTCACTTGGGTGTCAATGCTTAGCGGGTATTTATTCATCCACTAAAGTTCCTGCAGTGGCGTCGTCACAGCTGATACGGGGTCAGCCCTGCTCGATCCCACGGACTGACTTTTCTGGGCCAAGTAGTCTTTATAGTTTCGGGTCAGGAGAGTGTAAAGAAATGGATTGATGCAGCTGTTCCCGTACGTCAGACACGTGACGAAGAAATTCACGTAATTATGCGCCGCCGGAGACAAAGCACTGAGGGACTCTGGAGAGAAGAGTTTGGCTAGCTGCCATCCCCAGAAAGGCAGGAAACACGCCCAGTATGCCACCACGATGCTGAAGATCATGGACACAACTTTCTGTTTGAGTCCTCTCCTGTTGGCAGAACGGCTGCTGCCTCCAAAACTAGCCTGAACCGCCCAGTAGCGGCTAGCTAGCCCCACGTACAGCCCGACGATTATCAATCCAGGAACTAAAACACTGGTCAGAAACAGCACGGTGATGTAAGCCTTGAAGGCCTCATACGTCCACGTAGGGAAGCAGATCCTCTTCACCGTTCCACTAGCGGTCGGTTTCCCCTCTCTGAGGCGGATCATCACCATCATGGGGAGCGTTAGCACGAAAGCTAACCCCCAGATAACCCACGCAGCTAGCCTCCGTTTACGAGTCGAGGACTTGTGAGCGCTGAAAGGACTCGCCACGGCACGGTAGCGTTCAAGACTCATAGCGACCAGGATGAAGACGCTGGCGTGCATGGTGAGGAGGTCGAGGCTCAGCAGGATGCGACATCCCGCCTCTCCGAACAGCCAGTCGTGGGCGAAGTAAGTACAAACGACGAAGGGGATGGTGGACAAGTAGAGGAGATCCGCCAGAGCCAAGTTGACGATGTAAACGTACATCGAGCCATTTCTACGCAAGGCAGCCGATCGCGTGATGACGAGCGTGTACATGTTGCCCGCCACACCCATGGCACACATGAACATCAGAGTTACACCAAGTAGAGATGTCACCCAAAGTCCACCACCAGTACCTCCACCACCACTACTGTCCTGAGTCCCTCCATTTTCAGCCCCTGGGCTCAGGACGAGGCCCAGCTGAGGCGTGATGGTGGCGTTGGTCGTGCAGTTCATGGCAGGTTCACAGATCCAAGGACATTGCATTCAATTTCAAAAGCTTTTAAAATCTGTACGACCATGTCATGCTGTGAGGTGTAGAACAGATGGCTTCTGATAGAAAATACAGCAATTATTTTTCGAAAATGTGTCCCAGAAAATGCAGGTAAAAACCAACTTGTATACAAGCTGTGAAGCCAAGAAACAGCATTGATATGCGATAGGTGACATATGTTTTAATCCAATAAGAAGACAAGGTAGATGAACAATGAAAAGGCCAGCAGCTTCAGTGACGATTCGAAGGAGCTTCCAGTCGATTGTTATCCCCAAAGATAATGCCCTCCACTCTCCAAAATCGTGACAAAGTGCCCTCAAAATCTCTGACGGCATGTCCTGCCGAGGCGAGGTTAGCTTGAAGTCGACTTCAGTTGCACAAGATTCCAGGGAGTCTCCTTATGGGGATTAGTTCAGTCACTTTCAAAACATGAAATACATTTCTGACCACTGACGTGACCTCCATAGGTTTTCTTGTCTCAAATAGCGTTGAATCATCAGCTGTATCATATCCAGTCCAACTTATTTTCTCCACATTTCTACCTGAAGTGGTAGAGATCCTTTGCTTTATCCAAATTATCCATGTTGCCGCTTTCCCTCCGCTCCTCTTAACCTCCTTTGACCTCCATTACAGATGAAGCTCGGATCCATGAAAGTCCCCAGTTTGACAGAAGACCAAAGTGTTTGTGTTCTTTGGGGTTTTCATGGTCACTCTCCCTCCTTTTCTCTTCTCCGTCCTACCTCTTTCTCACCTGGGTGAAAACTTGCAAGGACCTATAGATTTATGAGGTATTCCTCTCTGGCCTCTGTAGTTTTAAACACCCAGAAACCACCGGTGGGGGAAGTCGTCCACAACCACACACACTTGCCTATGCACAACATAATAGAGAACGTTTTATTTGAGCTCGTTTTAGATGTACAACTTCTTAATTTGAACCTTATCTTCACAACTTGTAAAAACCTACTTCACCTGCTTTCTCTGTGAATTAAAGAGTGTGAAGGAATCTTAAATCTGTATATGTTTATGGTGTAGGAAATGTCACTTTCCAATATAATAATAGGATTCAAGAAATGCATTAGGGCCCGGAATAAAGTTTGTTTTGGAAAAGCTCACTTTTAATTTTTCAAAAATGATTCACAACTTCTGAATGTGTGCACATATCCGTACAGAGATTCCTCGACAACTTCCAGAAGAAATATTTATTTTATTATTCATAATCAATATGTTCATGTGGTATGTCAGTCAGCCATGCTCAAGCATAGGAATGCCTGAACCCTTGTGTTGTGTTCGAAAGCTGTTACATGGTGTTCGCGGTTCAATTTTGACCCATGATTTATCTCAGTCCAAAACACTCAAAAATAATGACTATCATCCAATATCGTTTTAACTACATCATAACTAACTTATAATGCATTCATAACCGTACAATCCTGTTGTAATTTTATTTTATGGCCCCAAAAAACATTACACCACATATTTAAGTAAAACATGTGATTACATTCACTCATATTTCCTATAGTGAAGACAGTGGATCATTACGTTATCTGACTATAATAGTATTAGAATACAATCTCCCCAAAAAAAGTTTTAAATTATTGTTACAGTGGATGAAGGGGGTGGGGGAGGGGTGTCTAAAGTCAAAGATGAATCTTGATTGGGCCAAATTTGACCCCGAGTCACCCACAACAATTCTGCTGGGTCTACCCAGACCCCAACACCAAATTATACACTTTTTTTAGAGACCTTCAGACTTGGCTAAAATGGTCAAAATCAGTTTTGTAGTGTTTATATATCTGTTGTGGAGGATATCATGAAGCCTCGTTCCGATACAAAAAACTAGAGCGTAGTTATTATATGATTTTAACTTGAAACGGGTCACGGGAGACCCGAACACAACATAAGGGTTACAAAAGACACCAAGTCAATACCCAAAGGGAGTACCTCTTTAACCAAAAAATAGAAAAGAAAAACTCCAGTGAAACGGAAAAAGGGAAAACATTTAACCTGAAACATTGATTGTTTTAACAAAGATTTAGTGATGGTATGGTTTGCCACATGGAGGCACTGTTAGACCATGCAATGTCTTAAAGTGCTTACAGCTTTTCTATCCCTATGCATTTGCAAATGATCATCTTCAACAGGCATACTTGTTCAACAACTACTGCAAACAAAAGTTGTCTTACACAATCATAAAAGTCATTCATGATGCAAACTGTACAGGTAGTGTGTCTGAAGATATTAAGTTGGTTAGAAAATCTCTGTGTCCTTTGTGATCCTTTGGACAAAAACAGCACACTATGCAGCATGTTTCAGCTCTAGCTCATGAACTGGACTGCTTTATATTTGATACACAAGTTTACATGAAAATAAATCAAAATCAATGAACCAATAAAATTGGTTTTATTAAAAAAAATTATTTCCCAGACTGAAGAAAACAGTTTTCTGTCCGGTTGATGGTCGCCTTTTTTTTTATTACCCAATCATCAGAGTACACTAGGATAAAATACTTAATACAAGAGGACCAATTTGCCTGCACTGGGCATGCATGTGATTACGTGATTAACAGTGGGAAGCAACACAACATTGATATTGGTGATTTGGGCAATGGATTTGTTAGGCTTAGGGTCAGACCAAAACTAAACTTTTACTATCTCTTATTCCTACAAAAATGTGAGCAAGACAAAATCAAATACCTGTAGTATTTCTATTTGTTTCGCTAGATATCTTATTTAAATGTACCGATGAATATTGCCTCGGTCCTCTTGTTTGGATATCTGCCCCCAAAGAGCAGCATTGGGACTTGGAAGATGCTCTAGTGTGGTGATATTAGTGATGAAGGTAGTGCAGAACAGAGTCTGGAGGGTGATGGATGAGAGGAGATGATCCACAGGCGGTCCATCAATGCCTGTGTTTGAACAAGGCTTCCACTTGAACACAAAACAGAGTCCAAAGTTAGAACAAAACCCTCCAATGCAGACTATTCAGTATACCCTAAACCCTAACCCCTAACCCTGTTTAGTCCTTTTCTTGCAGTACATAAGAAATGTATCTGACTGCACAGCTCTTTAACACAAGACGGAAAACTAAAGATTATCCATCATTATGATTAATTTGAAGGCCAAACATTTGGTTTTATGGCTGAGCTAGTGACACAGTTCTAGGGTTACTTATATGGGTTGTTTAATTTGTCTAAAGATGTGGCACTTTGAGTAAAATATCTTTAAAAGTATTGACAAAAAATCTTGTATTGACATTCCTGTTTTTTTGGAAAATGTATTATAATGAGTTTGTTGAGGACTTATCCCTTAGCACGATTAGATGTTAGATATAATGGCGTACAAAATATATATCTGGACAACACATTTCATTAGTAAATAAAGCAGGCTAACATGCTAAACAAGAACATCTGTGAACATTACCTGCTATGCTTCATCATGTACACATAGTCAAGGCGAACGATTTAGCATTGCAACCACTATATTTAACTGCTAAGGATCAAGAAGTCATTTAATTTGTGCGCTGAATAATATTAGAGTTGAGGGCCAATTCATTTGTGTGGGTATTAAGTATTTGGTTGTACCCCTGTGAAGCAGAGTAGCTATTGGATGTAAAAGAAAAAACCAAAGGTATTAAAAACAGAAGTAATCAGCAACTTATTATAAAAGCTAACAACTCATTTATATTTATTGAATATCAAACAGTTCTTCATTCTTACTTGTGTACTCCTGAGGGGACATCACAGCATTCATGACGTCATTGAAGTGTTTCAGCCACTCCTGCTGGTCGCTCTCTGACTCGCAGGTGAACAGGAAGCCGCGGTCGGGCGTTTCTATGGTGACGCCGTGCTGCCAGGCGCCGTTGCAGTGTGTGCCGGCGGGCAGGCCGGGCGAGGCGCTGTACCCGTGGTCCTTGTTCCCCAAAAACACCTCACCTTTGGCAAAGGCGTCCTTCAAAGACAGGGAAAAGGAGATAAACATAGGTCAGCTGAAAGCTTTGGAATATAGGGAACAGTGACAAAATAATACCATGCTGTGTCCAAATGTGCGTAATTATGTACTACGTTCTGTTGTGTTCTGAAATATATATATATACTCCTGCCAATAGGGGGCGCAGTGTAACCACATTAACATACAAGGTAACCTTTTTTCAGAGGACATTCAGCATTTTCCCTTGAATGTAACTATTGCATGATCATCTTTAAAACAATTACCTTTGATGTGTTATAACCACAAGGTGACACTGCTTAAACATCTCAAATAAATCTCCCTTTGTTCTCAGAAAGTCTGAACAAATGGCATACACAGTGCCTCATTGTAAACCTTAACATCAAACATACATTATTCAGACATCATCTCAGGGATCAAATGACACTCGCTTTGAGCCTCCTCCACATATTCCCAGTCGACACAACTTCACTAGACTTCCTCTTCCTTTCATCTACCAGTTTTTCTTGTGTTACACTCTCAGGGGAAGTTGGACATTTCGGTCACCTATAATTATTGCACCTCTCCATTGAACTATTGCATCAGCTGAGCTAATCATGCTAGGCTATCTGATATGCATTTAGCCAAGTGTTGGGCAATCTGTGCCGCCCCCTCTGAAGGAAAGTCTGGGTGATAACAACTGTGAGTCAGAATCTAACTTTCACAATGTCTCAAGCACCAATATCAGATAAAGTCTAACACAGAGTTGTCTGTGGAAGTTCCCAGTGTAGTTTACAGCGTTAAGCAACTCTAAATTGTTAGCGTCTCACTTCCTTTTAAGGCCATCTATACAGTGAGGTCATGGCAAAAGGCCACATGTATAACAAGGTTATGTACGGATGAAAGCACCTTACTTTACATCAGACACTCCCCACTGAGTCATGCTTAATGTCCCCCCTCCTCCCACTCTGCATGAAACTTATTTATATCATTTTATATGAACACTGGAATACCTTCAAGCAGAGACTTGAATCACATGACATGGACTCGGGTTACAAATATGACTTAAGAAGCAACTAGACAAAATAAATACAAAAATGACGTGTGATTTTCGACTGGACTTTAGTGCCCAAATATTAAAACATGGGTTATTATAAACTCTGGACTTTACTTCTGGTTTTACTTGGAACTAGTCCGTCTTAACTTGGGTTTAATCACTCTTGAGTTAGGACTTCCCATTCTTGACCTGGGCAACTTTGGACTAGTCTATCATGTCTTGGGACTTGTATGTCTTAGAACTTGTCAGTGAGGACCCATTTCTCTAGACTTGCGACTAGTCTGTATTTACTTGAGACAATTCTGTCTTTACTTGGGACTTATCTGTGATTACTTGGGACTTTTCTTTCTTGACTTGGGACTTTAGTCAGTCTTGACTTGAGACTATAGTCTGACTTGATTTGGGACTATAGTCTGTCTTGATTTGGGACTATAGTCTGTCTTGACTTGAGACTATAGTCTGTCTTGACTTGAGACTATAGTCTGACTTGATTTGGGACTATAGTCTGTCTTGACTTGAGACTATAGTCTGTCTTGATTTGGGACTATAGTCTGTCTTGATTTGAGACTATAGTCTGTCTTGACTTGAGACTATAGTCTGTCTTGACAAGAGGCTATAGTCTGTCTTGATTTGGGACTATAGTCTGTCTTGACTTGAGACTATAGTCTGTCTTGACTTGGGACTATAGTCTGTCTTGATTTGAGACTATAGTCTGTCTTGACTTGAGACTATAGTCTGTCTTGACTTGAGACTATAGTCTGTCTTGACAAGAGGCTATAGTATTTCATTACTTGGAACTAGTTGGTCTCGACTTGAGACTATAGTCTGTCTTGACTTGAGACTATAGTCTGTCTTGATTTGAGACTATAGTCTGTCTTGACTTGAGACTATAGTCTGTCTTGACTTGAGACTATAGTCTGTCTTGACAAGAGGCTATAGTCTTTCATTACTTGGAACTAGTTGGTCTCGACTTGAGACTATAGTCTGTCTTGACTTGAGACTATAGTCTGTCTTGACTTGAGACTATAGTCTGACTTGATTTGGGACTATAGTCTGTCTTGACTTGAGACTATAGTCTGTCTTGATTTGGGACTATAGTCTGTCTTGACTTGGGACTATAGTCTGTCTTGATTTGGGACTATAGTCTGTCTTGACTTGGGACTATAGTCTGTCTTGATTTGGGACTATAGTCTGTCTTGATTTGGGACTATAGTCTGTCTTGACTTGAGACTATAGTCTGTCTTGACTTGGGACTATAGTCTGTCTTGATTTGAGACTATAGTCTGTCTTGACTTGAGACTATAGTCTGTCTTGATTTGAGACTATAGTCTGACTTGACTTGAGACTATAGTCTTTCTTGACAAGAGGCTATAGTCTTTCATTACTTGGAACTAGTTGGTCTCGACTTGAGACTATAGTCTGTCTTGACTTGAGACTATAGTCTGTCTTGACTTGAGACTATAGTCTGACTTGATTTGGGACTATAGTCTGTCTTGACTTGAGACTATAGTCTGTCTTGATTTGGGACTATAGTCTGTCTTGACTTGAGACTATAGTCTGTCTTGACTTGGGACTATAGTCTGTCTTTACTTGGTACTAGTCTGTCTTGACTTGAGACTATAGTCTGTCTTGACTTGGGACTATAGTCTGTCTTGATTTGAGACTATAGTCTGTCTTGACTTGAGACTATAGTCTGTCTTGATTTGAGACTATAGTCTGTCTTGACTTGGGATTAGTCTGTCTTGATTTGAGACTATAGTCTGTCTTTACTTGGTACTAGTCTGTCTTGACTTGAGACTATAGTCTGTCTTGACTTGGGACTATAGTCTGTCTTGACTTGGGACTATAGTCTGTCTTGATTTGAGACTATAGTCTGTCTTGACTTGAGACTATAGTCTGTCTTGACTTGAGACTATAGTCTGTCTTGACTTGGGATTAGTCTGTCTTGACTTGAGACTATAGTCTGTCTTTACTTGGTACTAGTCTGTCTTGACTTGAGACTATAGTCTGTCTTGACTTGGGACTATAGTCTGTCTTTACTTGGGATTAGTCTGTCTTGACTTGAGACTATAGTCTGTCTTTACTTGGTACTAGTCTGTGATTACTTTGGACACATCATTCTTGAATTGGGACTTGTCCATCTCGATTTTGGACTTGAGACTTAATTATGATTTGCAAGTTTGGTCCCAGCTCTGCATCATACAGTAGCATTGTTGATGGTAGGTTGGGATCAGGAAGAGGAACAAAAGTACCATAGTCTTTCTTTACTTGAGACGTGTCTGTCTTTGTGTGGGACTTGTCTGTGATGACTTTGGACCTATCATTCTTGTCATTTGGACTTGCGACTTAATTGGGATTTTAGCAAAGCTTTCTCTTGGTCCCACCTTTGCGTTGTATTGATTTAGGCCTAAATATAAACGGACACACTGAAGTCTCTGTGATGTGTGTAGGTGTGTGAACAGATGCCATACCAGAGGATCTTTGAAGTACATGAGTCTCCTCTGGTCCAGAGTGAACCAGCGCTTCTTGAAGCCTTCTGTATGCTGTAAAGAGAGACGAGGAACAGAGACAGTCAGACAGGAGGACAGAGAGACACTGAGAGAGACACAAGGCAGTATGGTAATAGCACTGGAGGTGTTGTGTGTGTCTTTCCTGCTACTTTGTGTAAGACTATTGATTATTAACGTGGCGGTGGCTGCAGATAATGATCATCAATATAAAAAAAGATATCAATCAGGGAAATTGCATTTGATTAATTTCTACTGGACAGTTGGAGACAAATAGTTTCAGCAATATAATACACTTGTTTGGATTAATGCAATATTTAAAAATTGAAAATAGATGGAAACCCTGACAAAAAAGCAAGGATTGTGTGCTGCAGGGATTAGTATTCATGTTTAACTTGACTGATACTGAATCTCTTTGCAGCCTAATTCAACCACTTGGTCAAGAATACTTTCCTTTGTATAAATCAGTACTTCATTTATAAATGTCCATTGAGCATTACAAGTGCATCAAACCTGAAATAAGTCTTACATTTGATATCAGGATGTTCTGCTTGTGCTTCATACTAACACTGTCTGAATGTGTGTGAGGCATAACACTCTGAAACTGAATTCAAAATGGCAAAATTGAAAGTTTAACTCACTTCAGCAGATCCCCCTGAAAGCTATTGAATAAGACGCTACACCTTCTGAGAGTTTATTGAAGCAGCTTCAGAGAGCCGAGCTTTGAACAAAAAGGACGCTCAGGTCCCAATCTGCAGCCAAAGGGTCTTCATAGAAGTGTTTGATTTCCTCGTAGCAAACAGTCTTCTGTGACTCCTTCCCCAAATATGTCTCATAGGTGCGCGAGGAAATGAATGATGACGTTCGTTTAGCGAATCGTCCCAAAGCGGTGAGTTAGTGGCTCCTTTCATCTCACCGCCTGACACACAGAGATTAAACTGAGTGTCTGAATACTGAAGCGGCTGTTTCCTCGAGGATCAGGTTACTGTGTGTGTAGCTGTCTGAGTGTGTGAAAGTACCTGTATGCTGATGTAAACATGTACAAATGCCTCTTTGTGTGTACACTTAATTCCAACATATGTCTGCATTTTATTACATCGGTATTTAAAGAGTCCTCTCCTGCTGATGTTCAGGTGTATATCAGTATGTAGTGTCTCTACTTTAAAGAGTCCTCTCCTGCTGATGTTCAGGTGAATATCAGTATGTAGTGTCTCTACTTTAAAGAGTCCTCTCCTGCTGATGTTCAGGTGAATATCAGTATGTAGTGTCTCTACTTTAAAGAGTCCTCTCCTGCTGATGTTCAGGTGTATATCAGTATGTAGTGTCTCTACTTTAAAGAGTCCTCTCCTGCTGATGTTCAGGTGTATATCAGTATGTAGTGTCTCTACTTTAAAGAGTCCTCTCCTGCTGATGTTCAGGTGTATATCAGTATGTAGTGTCTCTACTTTAAAGAGTCCTCTCCTGCTGATGTTCAGGTGTATATCAGTATGTAGTGTCTCTACTTTAAAGAGTTCTCTCCTGCTGATGTTCAGGTGTATATCAGTTTGTAGTGTCTCTACTTTAAAGAGTCCTCTCCTGCTGATGTTCAGGTGTATATCAGTGTGTAGTGTCTCTACTTTAAAGAGTCCTCTCCTGCTGATGTTCAGGTGTATCAGCTGTATTGGCATCTAATTTAAAGTCGATCCTCAGCTGGAAATCTTTTACTAAATACTTGATACAGCCTGGTTTACAATTCTACTACGACTTTAAAATCATTTAAAATGTTGCTTCATGCTCAGCCAAAATATTGTGTGAGTCACTCGCCCTGGGGCCGGTCTTTTCCATGAATCCTTCCTTCAGAAAGTTCCGGGTGAGTTTGTGTACCAGCTGAAAACAAGAAGCAAAGACAAGAAATTAAGAACAACCCTGAGGATACAAATAGTTTCAGTGCTGAGTGTCCAGTTGGTAAACAAAATGCTTGTACACATAGTATACAAACAGTAATGAATTATCTCCAGCTCAGTTTTAGCATCTCACTGGCACATATATTAAATAAAAGCTTAGCATCTACGGTAGGTGTTTTTCAAATACCTACAGTATGTCTGTGAGAGAGAGAGAGTGTATGTGAGTGTGAGTGTGAGTGTGAGTGTGTGTGTGTGTGTGTGTATGTGTGTGTGTGTTCACCTCAGCATCTGTCGCCCCGGGGAAGGCCACCATTAGATAGTGAAGCTGAACCGCTCTAATCGTATTGAACCAGTCCACAATCTCCTGATGAAGACACACAGAGGCGGAGAGAAACAAGTGAGGAAAGATACTCTTCTAAGAATACAGGGGGAAGTAACAACATATTAAAATAACCCAGAGATAAATAGATATAGGAAACTGATTTTCGAAACCAAAAGTTGTCTTTTTATATCTTAAAACAAGAACTAAAACTCACCAGCTAGTCATTAATCATTTCAATAACTTCCACATTTTTCTATATTAAAACAGTTTTGCAAAAGATTGGATGCTGTGTCTATTTATTTGAAATAACTTCTCGACCTGACACACAGACATACTTCACATATTTCACTGTGTATTCATGCAATAACAGAGAACAGTAGATGAAGAGCTTGGATGTAACAGCTGATGGATTCTATCAGCAGGCACAAATTGGTACGGATGCAAACAATGTATACAATATTTAGTTTCTACAATTTCAACCACCTTCAATGTAAATACTGCTATATTTTACTATATTTGTTTGTGTTATTATAGTTTTCTTGAAATAGTTTTCGATCCGTCTTTTTAATTTTTGTGTTATTTGTGTGTTAGATTATGTATGCACCACAACACCAAGTCAAATTCCTCGTATGTGTTTACCTACATGGTAATAAACCTCTTTCTGATTCTGATGCTTTCTAAAAAGGTCTAGAGACTCGCCCCCAAAAGCACCAAAATATCTAGTTTTCAACACATCCTTTATGTGATGGAAACATAATAAAAGATTCAAGGCTTTATCATCACAGTAGCATCAGTGTAGAAATGGCATATTACAAACTTAAAGAGGACCTATCATGCAAAATGCACTTTTGTACGTCTTTTCTACATGAATATGTGTCCCCGGTGTTCCAGGGAACTCACCAAGTGTCAGAAAACACAACCCTCTCTATTTTCCTCCATACCCAAATCTCTAAAAAAGGGGCTGCAACGGATCTGATAAAAACTGATCCAGATTTGAACACTGTCCTGACGTCAGGACGGTGGCGCTACGGCTATTGGGCCAACTCCACCAATCAGGAGGAGACAGCCACGGCCATTGCCGTTCGAAAGCGCTGGAGACGCTGTAGTACATATGCCAGGCCAGTAGATGGTGCTGTTCTCACAGAATCAGCCCTTGCAAAAACAGAGCTAACATTTTTAAAATTGAGCGAAATGAGGCATGGCTAAAATGCATGATCTGTTTGGTATTTTGGAAAAAAAAAAGTATAAATATGCCTTATATAGGTATGGTCCTACACTATATTATTCAAATATAGCATGATAGGTCCACTTTAAGTCCCAGGCTCTTCCAACAATGCAACTCAGGACTGCAGATGGAAATGAGCTATGAGCTCAAATCTGGCATAATTCATCTCTTCTCTTTTCTGAGATGAATGTATTTGTATGCATGGTCCTTGTTGAAATAAATACATAATAATAACATTAATATATATAGGACATAGAACAAATAAAACAGATAAAATAGTGCAAGAGAATGTTTGGAGATGTGCAAGTAAATACAAATAATAATAATAATCTAAAAGTTGATCTTGTTTAACAGCTAAGAAAAGTCGATCACATTTTTACAGTCCTACATCTGCATCACTGGCAAGACATTTTCTTAAAGGTCCCCTATTATACTGTTTTTCATCAATATATCACAGGTCTCAGATATATACAGAGCCTCTCTCTGATTGGCTGAAACACCAAACAGATCATTGCAGCATCCCATAATCCCCTCTGTTTCAGCCCTGTTTCCAAAGTGCTGATTCTCTGTCTGTTACTTTAGATGAAAATAAGGAGCCCCTCTCCACGCCCCTCTGAGAGACATTTGGTTACAAAGAACTCAATGGTGCTCTAGGAGGAGATTCAGGTGATAAGGTGGGGGGGGGGGGGGGGTTACCTTGGTTGCTGATTGGCTAATGGTTACACAAGACAAAACATCGTTATGACATCATAAAGTGACCAAAATCTGATCAGCTCATTTTCAGACAGGTTTTTAGAGAAATGGATCAGGAGAAAAAGAGAGAGAATCTTTGTTCCTGAAACTTTCAGAGTCTCTTTCCACAGAGGGGACACATGTTGATGTAGAAGAGACATGAAGAAGAGGGGACACATGTTGATGTAGAAGAGACATGAAGAAGAGGGGACACATGTTGATGTAGAAGAGACATGAGGAAGAGGGGACACATGTTGATGTAGAAGAGACATGAAGAAGAGGGGACACGTGTTGATGTAGAAGAGACATGAAGAAGAGGGGACACATGTTGATGTAGAAGAGACATGAAGAAGAGGGGACACATGTTGATGAAGAAGAGACATGAAGAAGAGGGGACACATGTTGATGTAGAAGAGACATGAAGAAGAGGGGACACATGTTGATGAAGAAGAGACATGAAGAAGAGGGGACACATGTTGATGTAGAAGAGACATGAAGAAGAGGGGACACGTGTTGATGTAGAAGAGACATGAAGAAGAGGGGACACATGTTGATGTAGAAGAGACATGAAGAAGAGGGGACACATGTTGATGAAGAAGAGACATGAAGAAGAGGGGACACATGTTGATGTAGAAGAGACATGAAGAAGAGGGGACACGTGTTGATGTAGAAGAGACATGAAGAAGAGGGGACACATGTTGATGAAGAAGAGACATGAAGAAGAGGGGACACATGTTGATGTAGAAGAGACATGAAGAAGAGGGGACACGTGTTGATGTAGAAGAGACATGAAGAAGAGGGGACACATGTTGATGTAGAAGAGACATGAAGAAGAGGGGACACATGTTGATGAAGAAGAGACATGAAGAAGAGGGGACACATGTTGATGTAGAAGAGACATGAAGAAGAGGGGACACGTGTTGATGTAGAAGAGACATGAAGAAGAGGGGACACATGTTGATGAAGAAGAGACATGAAGAAGAGGGGACACATGTTGATGTAGAGGAGACATGAAGAAGAGGGGACACATGTTGATGTAGAAGAGACATGAAGAAGAGGGGACACATGTTGATGTAGAAGAGACATGAAGAAGAGGGGACACATGTTGATGTAGAAGAGACATGAAGAAGAGGGGACACATGTTGATGTAGAAGAGACATGAAGAAGAGGGGACACATGTTGATGCAGAAGAGACATGAAGAAGAGGGGACACATGTTGATGTAGAAGAGACATGAAGAAGAGGGGACACATGTTGATGTTGAAGAGACATGAAGAAGAGGGGACACATGTTGATGTAGAAGAGACATGAAGAAGAGGGGACACATGTTGATGTAGAAGAGACATGAAGAAGAGGGGACACATGTTGATGTAGAAGAGACATGAAGAAGAGGGGACACATGTTGATGAAGAAGAGACATGAAGAAGAGGGGACACATGTTGATGTAGAAGAGACATGAAGAAGAGGGGACACATGTTGATGTAGAAGAGACATGAAGAAGAGGGGACACATGTTGATGTAGAAGAGACATGGAGAAGAGGGGACACATGTTGATGTAGAAGAGACATGAAGAAGAGGAGACACATGTTGATGTAGAAGAGACATGAAGAAGAGGGGACACATGTTGATGAAGAAGAGACATGAGGAAGTGGAGTTTGCATAATAGGTGACCTTTAAAGTTGTGTTTTATGCGATGCAGACCTTTCCGGTGTCGTGGTAGACGAAGATGTTGCGCGTGCTGTAGTCTTTGAGGTAGGTGATCTGCAGGCCGTTGGGGTTTCCGATCTTCTCCGGCTGGAAGGTGGCGTTGATGGTGTCCACTTTGATCACTGCTTTGGGCTCCTTAGCCTGAGGAAGGAGGGAGGGAGAAGAAGAGGAAAAAGGAGGTGTTTTAGTGTGTTAGAAATGTAAGGGTCAACAACAAGACGTCTGGTAATTCAGGAGCAAAGAGCAAATGTCTACTTATTATATGAAACAGTCTGAATCAGAAATTTGAAAAAGCTAAATATTTGCTATTGCTATCAGGTATTTTATCTTGTTTTTGTTCCACCTTGAGGGAGGGAGGAAGGAGAGGAAAAAGGAGGTGTATTAGTGTGTTAGAAATGCAAGGGTCAACAACAAGACTTCTGGTAATTCAGGGAACTGTATATCTAATGTTTAGGGATTTTTTAAACAGCAAATGTCGACACTTTGTTTGGACTAATTATATGAAACACTGCGACTATTTATTGTATTCCATTTATTGCTGTCGGGTACTTTTATCATTTTTTTGTGCCACCTTAATACTTTTTTTTATTACCTTCACCAAGGAAGAGGTTTTCGATTTGTTTTGTCAGCAGGATTATAAAAAAACTAGCAGTGTGACTTTCATCAAACTTGGTGGAAGGGTGAAACATAAGCCGAGGAAAAGCCAAATCATATTTTCGAGTGGATCCGGATCACAACGTGGTACACAAATTATTTTTGACTTTCTTTAAAGGGGACCTATCATGCAAAATGCACTTGTGTACGTCTTTTCTACATGAATATGTGTCCCCGGTGTTCCAGGGAACTCACCAAGTGTCAGAAAACACAACCCTCTCTATTTTCCTCCATACCCAAATCTCTAAAAAAGGGGCTGCAACGGATCTGATAAAAACTGATCCAGATTTGAACACTGTGCTGACGTCAGGACGGTGTCGCTACGGCTATTGGGCCAACTCCACCAATCAGGAGGAGACAGCCACGGCCATTGCCGTTCGAAAGCGCTGGAGACACTGTAGTACATATGCCAGGCCTCTAGATGGTGCTGTTCTCACTGAATCTGCCCTTGCTAAAACAGAGCTAGAAATTGTCAAATTGAGCAAAATGAGGCATGGCTAAAATGCATGATCTGTTTGGTATTTTGAAAAAAAAAAAGTATAAATATGCTTTATATAGGTATGGTCCTACACTATATTATTCAAATATAGCATGATAGGTCCACTTTAACATTGCAAGATATGCTGCATTCACTAGGTGTTCGAATACATCTGAAAAAGGAGTTACCAAGTGGGAAAAGTCACGTAAACGTCCAGCTGTTTCAACAACTCCGTTACAGATATTGACATGCTGTTTTAAAGCTGTAAGCAATAAAATGTAAGGGGTCATCCTTGTAGCTTCGATGTTTTGTTCCAATATTACAATTTATAGCCCATAAATAAAACTAAATCAGAAAAAAGATACTTCCAAACTCAGAAAATGTCACCATCTGAGATGCATTTGAACGCACCGTTGACTTTGGCTAAGGTCTGCACTGTAGATACAACTCTATAGAAAAAGCTAAATAATGAACCAAAATGTATGCAAGAAATGGTCTGGGACCTGATTTAATTGTCGTCATTAGTCTTGATAACATTTATTTAGTTTTTCTGACAAACTTCGACCAGAAAAGAAAGTAAAGTTATGGAGTCAATGTTCATGCTGGGTATCAAAGCTCGGGGCATGAAAATGATATCTGGACCTATTATCAACACATCTGAGATGCATTTGAACGCACCATTGACTTTAGCTGTGTATTCATTCAAGAGAAAAGTAGCTTTTCTCTGACATATCTACACTGTAGCTATGTACAAATGACAATAAATAAAATAGGAACACAATCTAAATGTGTGTACCTCGACCTTGACAGCAAACAGCTCTGCTTTTCCACAAAGATTTGAAAGAAGATTAGATTGTACACACATCTCCCGTCATTGTGTCTCTGCAGCATCAGAAAGTGAGACAAATGTGAGAAACTGAAGCCGGCAGACTGTGACTCGGGCCTGAATATTTTACACACCTCCAGGTTTTTCTGAAACCACAAGAAGCATCTCAGAGCCCGGAGCACCTGAGCGACACTTTCTCCTTTATCATTTCTGTGACTGCATGAGAGGATTTTGTTTTGTTGTTGGCTATAGCAGAGGCACCAGGAGAATACAGAGAGAAATACTGCGACAAACTAAGTGCTGGAGGACAAGGGGAATTAAACGTTTTCATGCCAATACACGTGTTAAAACACACTGGAAAAACCTATTCAAAATGTATTAATACATATTTTCACTGTGACAAACTCCCAGTGCTTCCAGCTCTAATTGGTTCAGGTGGTGTACAGCTTAGTGATTCCTCCACACTGACAGAGGACACACTCCAGCTTGTTTCAGCACACTTAGAAGCAGTAGAGGAAGCAGGACTCCTTTGGTAGGCTTTCGGTTGGTATGTGGAATAATACCAACCGAAAGGTTAGTATAGGTATATCTCCGGGCTCTGAGATGCTTGTGGTGTTATAAAGTGCGTACAAATCCTGCAGAACATAATGTGTCCTTAAAGTTCTCCCTTATAAAGTGGAGCAGTGTTTGTGTAGGCCCACCCGGAAGTTAGCACTGCAAGGCTATTTCGTCAAAAGCAATGTGATTTTTCCATTGGATTTTGGGATATTGTAGAAAAACTGTTTATGAAACTTAAACATGTTAACATCACTTGTATAGGAGTTGAAGAGTAAATGCAATCCACATAGCCTAAGTAAACAGCTAATGTTGGGCTATAAAGGAACTACAGCACGGTCACATGACTTCACGTCACCACCGCTAAGCTAAAGGTGGCTAATGTTGGGCTATAAAGGAACTACAGCACGGTCACATGACTTCACGTCACCACCGCTAAGCTAAAGGTGGCTAATGTTGGGCTATAAAGGAACTACGGCACGGTCACATGCCTTCACGTCACCACCGCTAAGCTAAAGGAGGCTAATGTTGGGCTATATAGGAACTACAGCACGGTCACATGACTTCACGTCACCACCGCTAAGCTAAAGGTGGCTAATGTTGGGCTATAAAGGAACTACAGCACGGTCACATGCCTTCACGTCACCACCGCTAAGCTAAAGGTGGCTAATGTTGGGCGTGATGACGTTTAGTCGTCTCATTTATACACTTGTTAGCAACCGCCATTTTTTTTAATTCACCAGTGGGGTATTTAGTGACGTATTTGATGTCGTAGAACAAACCGTTGAATCTCTTCAGCTTGTGTTAACCACAGACCTCATTTCAGGATAACAACCAAAAACACATTCAAAAATGTCCAGACCAGGGGACAGGAAGTGATAAAATGCTGACTAATTTCCAGGTTTCAGGACTTATTCCCGCACTACTCTATTTAAAGTATTTGTGATGTGGTTGCATGCGTGTTGCACATGTGGAAGTAAACTACTGCCTTCACACAACACTATTTAGGAAGCTGTCTTATTAGCACATGTCACAAGTGTTTTGCAGACATGGCTTAGTGTACGTAAAGCTTGATGTGGGCTCTAAAAGTCGAATTTACAGCTTTTGCTTACGTCATATTTGGTGAAATACTTCAGGGTCCCCTCCCTCTCCGAGAGGACGAATCTCCTGCTGAGGAACTGCCCGTTGTCCCGCCCCCTCTTCATCAACATGCCATCTCTCATTCCTGCAGGAAACCAGCAAAGGTTTTTCATTAGCGTGTGTGTGTGTGTGTGTGCGTGTGTGTGCGTGTGCGTGTGCGTGTGCGTGTGTGTGATAAAGGCTTGTGTTAAAGGTGTGTTTCTGTGCCCACACTCACCTTCCTCATATAGTAAGTGGTTCCCAGGCTCACAGAACTCCTTCCTCTCGTACTTTGCTCTGATCCACTGCTCCCTGAGAGTCCTGAGCACACAAACAGATTAAATGTCAACAGAGCTAGCAGACCAGAGAAGACGTCATGTGTGCTTTGTGGTGGATTAGACAGGCGGGCTGACACATTAGAGCAGAGATTCAGTACAAATATAAAGATTTTTATGTGTACAAATGTGTGTGTGATAAAGACATGGAGGTCTGAGCTGTCAACAGATACATTTTAACATTGGTGAAATACTCTTTTCATTCAACACACACACCTTCATCTGCAAGTCATTACTAATAATGATCAAAGAAGGTGCGACCTGTGTGTGTGTGTGAGATAAAGGCTTGGAGGTCTGAGCTGTCAGCAGACATACTTTTAACATTAGACACACACACACACACACACACACACACACACACACACACACACACACACACACACACACACACACACACACACACACACACACACACACACACACACACACACACACACACACACACACACACACACACACACACACACACACACACACACACACACACACACACACACACACACACACACACCACACACACACACACACACACACACACACCACACACACACACACACACACACACACACACACACACACACACACACACACACACACACACACACACACACACACACACCACACACACACACACACACACACACACACACACACACACACACACACACACACACACACACACACACACACACACACACACACACACACACACACACACACACACACACACACACACACACACACACACACACACACACACACACACACACACACACACACACACACACACAGAGAAGCCAAGACTTTGTCAACAGTGGTTTAAACTCAGGTGTGGCAGCCTGTGTGTTTTTGTCTCCTACAGGATAAGGTTTGGCTCTTCTCCGAAATTCTCCCCGCCTCCCATGAATACAATTCCAAACATTCCTGTCTGGGATCTGCCCGCTGCAGCAGAAGATGACATTTAAAGAGCTTTAAAATGCAACACAACCAGAGGAAGTTCCTACTTTTGTGTTAGAAAATACAGGTAACAATGACCCGTTTGTTATATCTATATATCTGTTACAGCAGCTATTTGTGATGATGTGGCGCACACAAAATAACGTCTCTAAGGTTACGTCCAAACTGCATGCCTTATTGCTCTATTCAGGTTTATTGGCCTTATCACACTATTTCTGTAACGGTCACATTATTCATTCAATGTTTTGTCATCTTGCCTTTTACTTATTTATCGAAATAATTATGACCGTAATATACTGTATTTAAGTTCATCTTAATGTACAATATTTAATTTCATATTCTCTTCTTGTATATATCATATTCTATTACATGCATATAGACTTCTTGCACCATTTTTTTGTTGTATTTTTGTATTTTATTATATATGTTGCATCGTTGGAGGAGCTCAGGTCAGAAGAATTTCATTGCCATTTCTACACTGTAGCTCATGTGCATATGATGATAAAACCTTTGAATTGAAATGTGACCAGTATCAGATTCCTGGCTGACCCAAATGCACTTTTAAAAAAGTAATATGCACCACACTGTCGTAGCAAAGTAAACAAAAAAGTCACTGTACAGCTCACACCAATCTGACATATGCTAAAGAACAATGCTAATCAGATTTAGCCTACGTTTGTGCTGCAGTCTAAGCGTAGCAATCATGCCCTCAATATGTCAACAAATGATGAAATACTATATTTTGAATATGGTTTTCCATTGTGTTTAAACATGTGTATTGGCATAAAAAAGTGTAATTCCCCTTGTCCTCCAGCATGTTGAAAACACTGACATCGGTTCACACATCAAATGCCAAAAGGCTGACACACTGAGACGTCTAAAGGCCCTTACACACCAATCTGACACCAAAGAACACGTCCCGACCCGACTGTTGTGTCGCCTCACGTCTCCTGCGTCTCGGCCATGTGTCGCACTGGAACACACCGCAAAGACTTCAGCCGACGGCCAAGTTGCACGTATGAACTGCGCATGCGTGAGTGGCAATAACTCTCCTTACCAGCAGGCGGCGGTAGTGTGTATTCGTCATTCAAAAGAGGCAACAACCGGAAGACAGACTGCGTGATAACCGAGAGAAGAAGAACAGACTGCGTGATATAAACAAACAACAAATAGCGTGTGCGTTCCATTTTCACTCTACAGCGAGAAGCTCATGGGGCTTTCCCCAACCTGTGTCGAGAGCTGGAGTTAAATGAAATCTTAATCGTTTGTTTGGGTCCCTCACTTCCGTCTCGCTTCTCATGCACTGATTCGCTAGCTGAACAGCCAATCAGAGTGATTTCTTTAGCCGACGGCCTCCCTATTCAACATGTTGAATCGGCGGCGGAAGGTGTCGGCACGGCGGAAAAGACACGACGGGGCGGGACACACCAATCTGAGTAGGGCGACAGGACGCTCGTCGGCGGCCATACATCTATCGACATCGAAAATCGGCTTTGTGTGTAAGGACCTTAAAAGTAATATTACAAATCGAATTAAAAGCGAAAACACCTTGTTTTTATTATATATTCACTTGTTTGTTGAGCAGCATTTTTTCCAGTGTGGTAGAAAAGTAAAAGACGTTTAAAACATGGAGGAAGACGGACAAAATGTGTGCTGTTAATGAGAAAGAGATGAGATGGTTAGTGTTTGTGTTCAAGCCGGGAAAAAGGCAATGTTCTCTGAGAAGAATAATTATCTCACAGCGCCGGAGAGGAGTCTAAAACGTTTAGGATCCTGAAACTAAAAAGGTAATTAGAGATTGTGATTTGTCCACACACGCACCACCAAAGACTTGAATCACATTTCATTCCCACAGACACGCCCTTAACAACTTCACCAAGCTTGAGCAAATGTGCCGGGTAGGAGAGATTGAAACACATCCAAGAACACGAGCATCGCTGGCAAAAACAAATGCAGAAATTCCCTCCTGCTGGGAATTTCAAAGGTAAGCGCAGAACAAGGAGGACTGAAAGGTTTCTAAGAGGCACTTGATGTAAGTCCAGCTGTTTGAGAGAGAAGGACAGAGCTTTAAACCTTGAAAGTATTATTTTAAAAACACATCTACACCCGTATGATGTAAATGAGGACATGACACTGTGAGGAAGTGCAGGATTCATGCATTTAATGTTTTATTCATGATCAGAAATGATGAGTGATATATGGGTAAAGCGAGGAAGGATGAATAATGGAGTGTATTCACTGCATGGTAAATCACACCTCTTTTGGTTTTCTATTTGCAGAAGTTAAGAAGTTAGAGACCTGGTACTCTTTTTGGTACAATTGGTCAAGTTAAAACACTGCAGACCACTGATTGGTCAGAGAGAATCGTCACAAGCATGTTACCGGACAACGTGCACAAATAAATAGCCTAGAAACTATTAAAAAAGTGGTGAAAATATGACATATTTTTGTAGGACGATCCTAAGCATCTCCCTGGTTCCCTCCACAAAAAGCCAATGGGAATTCTCCGTGTTATTTTGGATTATTGCAGAAAATAATCTCTGTGTCAAACAAACGTTTCTCATACTGACACGTTTTGTTCAGCAGGATAATCTCTTTGAGACGAGGGAACAGGAAGAAGTGCTAAAAAGCTAACTTAGTTCTACGATATTTGGTTGCAGATACAAGAATTAATTAGTTTCCCGTTTCCCCAACAGCATACAGATGTTTGACTCAATTCTCAGCATTACAAAGCCAAGGATCCTCCCTACACTGACGTAATATCCCCAGGGGAAACAAACTAGAGAAAAGCACCGGGTACCAAAAGTGATTTGATTAAAGCAAAACACTACCATGCAGTGGAAGGTGTTTGCTTAGATGGTGTGTGTGTGTGTGTGTGTGTGTGTGTGTGTGTGTGTGTGTATGTGTGTATGTGTGTATGTGTGTGTGTGTGTGTGTGTGTGTGTGTGTGTGTGTGTGTGTGTGTGTGTGTGTGTGTGTGTGTGTGTGTGTGTGTGTGTGTGTGTGTGAGGCCATGCAGTGGAAGGTGTTTGCTTAGATGTTATACAGAGAGTGGGGAAGATGTACGATTTACTAGACGGAAGTGTTTTTAAAGTATAATTAGATAAAAAATCTCACTGCAGCGAAAATGTATGTAGTGTGTGTGTGTGTGTGTGTGGCCTAGCATTACTATACTTGTGGGGACCTAAATCTGTTTACACAGTCACGTGTGGGGACTCGCCTCCCTTATGGGGACATAATGGAGGTCCCCATAATCATTAATTTGAGGTGAAGAGTTGGTTAAGGTTAGGGTTAGGCATGTGTTGGTTATGGTTAAGGTTAGGATAAGTCTCCAGGAAATGCATGTAAGTCAATGTAATGTCCCCTGAAGTGATGTATACATGGTGTGTGTATATATGTATGTATGTATGTATGTATGTATGTATGTATGTATGTGTGTGTGTGTATGTGTGTGTGTGTGTGTGTGTGTGTGTGTGGCGATGGATACTCACTGGCAGTCTTTGTGGGTTGGTTTGTAGTAGTAGAAGGGAACAGCAGCCTCATATTTACTCTTCATCAGCTCATTGCCGTGATCAGCCATAAACTAACCAGCACACACACAAAACAGGAGGGATTAGTGAGGAACAATCACACCATGGCACAGGAATTAAATACTTGGAAAAGTTACAATTAACTTATAAGTGCCAAAGAAGCACTTCGGTCAGAGCAATAAATCATGCAATGAAGGAGGTCTTTTTTTAAATATTTTAAAGGCACTTGAGGTTACTTGATCATTACCCATCCAAACTTATTCTAAATGATCACCGCAATTTCTTACAGTAAGCAAAACCTTTCCATCCCAGTCAAATGTTACTTTAAACAAAGACTTTCTAGAACAGATAAACACCTTTTGGGGATGTACCTATTGTAAATTCTCAGCCAATACAGATACAGATGTTTAACATAGCAATTTGGTTATTAACTATTTGTTTATTTAGCAATTATTGTTGTTAAATTTGTGTTGTTATCCGCCTTTTGTGCCAAGAAAACAAACACTTTCATCATTCGATATCTTTAAATAGGCACAGACTAAATAATGAAACCAACCTTTAATACAACCTTCTTTTAGGTCAAATATATATATTGTTTTCTCAGACCTAAATGCCTTTTTAGCCTGCTTTACATCTTCCTAAAAGATCTCACCTGCACCTCATGGTCCTCAATACTGATACAGATACAGATACAGCAATTTGGTTATTACATTGTGTTGTTATTCCCGCGTTTGTGCCAAGAAAACAAACACATCTTCATTATTAAAGAGCTGTATTGCTGTGTTTCAGCCCCCTGCACCTCCATCCTTAAATAAGCACACAGTAAAGTAAATACCTCTTCCTGTAACACGACTAAAAGTCCTGTGACACCTGTGGGTTTCTGCAGTGGTCTCACCTGCACCTCGTGGTCCTCCCAGTGAGACAGACTCAGAGACTTCACCTTGCTGGTGTCGGGGATGTTTCTGTGGATCCCGGAGCAGGCGAGGCAGACGAAGACCCCCAAAGTGCAGGAGCCCCAGTCAGGGTCTAAAGGGAGGAGGAGGGAGAGAATACAATAAGAGGGTGGGATAGACGGGGAAACGGCAGCACAACAACCAGAGGTGGGAAGTAGTGGAGTACAAATACTTCGTTACTGTACTTAAGTACATGTTTCTGGTATCAGTACTTTACTCCACTACTTATTTTTCTGACCACTTTTTACTTTGACTTCTTACATGTTGAACCCAAATACCTGTACTTTCTACTTCTTACATTTTGAACACTAATACCTGTACTTTCTACTTCTTACATTTTGAACACAAATACCTGTACTTTCTACTTCTTACATTTTGAACACTAATACCTGTACTTTCTACTTCTTACATTTTGAACACAAATACCTGTACTTTCTACTTCTTACATGTTGAACTCAAATACCTGTACTTTCTACTTCTTACATGTTGAACTCAAATACCTGTACTTTCTACTTCTTACATTTTGAACTAAAATACCTGTACTTTCTACTTCTTACATGTTGAACCCAAATACCTGTACTTTCTACTTCTTACATGTTGAACACAAATACCTGTACTTTCTACTTCTTACATGTTGAACTCAAATACCTGTACTTTCTACTTCGTACATGTTGAACACAAATACCTGTACTTTCTACTTCTTACATGTTGAACTCAAATACCTGTACTTTCTACTTCTTACATGTTGAACACAAATACCTGTACTTTCTACTTCTTACATGTTGAACACAAATACCTGTACTTTCTACTTCTTACATGTTGAACACAAATACCTGTACTTTCTACTTCTTACATTTTCCAAACAGGCTGGTTCCTTTAGTTTGAATGTGTGTTTGGTGGCGTGATCATTATTATTTAGAGTCATTGCGTGCCTATTGATTTGAACACGATCCGTGTATCCATCATTTCCTGGTCTTCTCTAAAGAAGAGGGACCAATGAAAACGTTGTCATGTTGCCGTTGTTCAGCATGGAAACATTCATTAGCTAACAATGACATTATTGTTCTATTAATATAAAGGGAGGTCAGGTACTCTTTAAAACAGCTGCTAGTTATGGGTACTTTTTACTTAAAGTGGACCTATCATGCTATAT